TGGCGTGCCAGCATTTTGAAAAACCCTAACTTAACGCTGGTGCCGTGTCACATCTAGAAATTTTTTGATCTTTGCAACCATAGTAAAACAAAGACTTATATTTTTGATGTGTATTTTATATATTTAAATGCCATTGAACAAAGAAAAATCAACCAAAAAAATGAGTTCGAGTGTCACCTCTGACACGCGTGTCAGAGGTTCGCCATCACTGACCTACTCTGTGCCAGGCGCTCGGCTGGGCGCTGAGAACACAATGGTGAAGAGGGAGACAGACCAATCACAGGAAGAACTGTGAGTCTGCCATCTGTGGTGAGTGTGGTGAAGAGGCACCCTCCCCAGAGCAGCCAGAGGGAAACCTGATACAGGGGGAAACCCGACCATCAGGGAGTCCAGGAAGGCTCCTCGGAGGAAGCAGCAGGCTGGAGCACAAGAGGACTGAACCACGTGCAGGGGGAGGATAGGTTCCCCCGCGGGGCTCGTTTTCCATCTCTCTGGATGGCCCCACCACCCGAGAGGCTTGTGCCTGGATTGGCCCTTCCCTGCAGCCACCACCTTTCCCACACCCTCCCAAGCCTGGCAAAGGCAGGCCCCAGCACTGGCCCCTCACCCTGGATCCTCTGTGCGGCCCACAGCCGCCCCGCCGTCTCCAGCACCCAGGCCTCGGTTCTGTCAGCCAGCAGGAAGGTGTTGTGGTAGCAGAAAGGCGTGGGGTCCTCCCGGCAGCTGCCCCCCTGCCCATAGCGCTCCAGCAAGCCTGTGATCACGTGCACGGCCTCCTGGGCTGAGCTGCTGCGTTCTAAAGCCAGCCTGGCACAGAAAGAGGTCCGGGGGACAGGAGGGTGAAAGGTGGCAGAAGCTCCAGGGGACAGGAGGGTGATGGGGCACCGTGGCTGGTGGTGGGAGCTACAGGGGACAGGAGGGTGATGGGGCACCGTGGCTGGTGGTGGGAGCTACAGGGGACAGGAGGGTGATGGGGCACCGTGGCTGGTGGCGGGAGCTCCAGGGGACAGAAGAGGCCCAGGGAGGGTTGGTGTCAGGCCTGAGTCCCCTAGAAAACCTGCCAACACTGCAGTGATGCCGGTGGTTGTCAGGCTGTCTCTGAGGGGCCACGCAAAGGCCCAACACACAGTCTCGGAGAAGTGCCCTGAGCCCACCACCTCTTCAATCAGAGCTGCTCCGCTTTCATTGGGTTAATAAATCGGGATGAGATTTCATTAGAAAGACATTTCACCTCTATTGATTCTGGGCCAGGGGAGGCCCAGAGGTGGCCACCTGGGAGAGCTTCCAACCAGATTGTGGAGATGGGGCCAGGGGAGGGAGGGGCAGGGCGGCCTCCTGGTGGTGACGCAGAAAGGAAGGGGCCCTTTGTGGACCAGGCTTGGAGGAGGGGAGGAAGGCCTGGGCCAGTCCTCGGTCCCCAGACTTCTGGTGTGTTGAGGGGACGAGGGAGGGCAGGGGCCACACCTGAGTAGATCCATGCCCAGCAGGGCCTCTCCCTCCCCAACTGGCTCCTTGGTCCACACGGCCTCGTTGCCAATGCAGACGCCATGCTCGTTGGCGCCCATCTCCGCCCCCCACAGCCAGGAAGGGCGGCTTAGGATCACAGCATGGGTCTTCGCCACCTGCTCCACCTCGATGTAGGTGCACTGCAGGCCGTGGGGGGAAGGGGGGGGGGGACACGGAGAGAGGGAGAGTCCGATCAGAAAGGGGAAGGTTCCTACCAAGTGGCAGTCACCTTCCACAGCCCTTAGAGCAGCGGTTCTCAACCTGTGGGTCGCGACCCCTTTGGTGGTCGAACGACCCTTTCACAGGGGTCGCCTAAGACCATCCTGCATATCAGATATTTACATTACGATTCATAACAGTAGCAACATTACAGTTATGAAGTAGCAACGAAAATAATTTTATGGTTGGGGGTCACCACAACATGAGGAACTGTATTAAAGGGTCGCGGCATTAGGAAGGTTGAGAACCACTGCCTTAGAGGAAGGCCTTATTATTCCCATTTTACAGAGAAGGACACTGAGGACAACAGAGGTTAACTAATAGGCTAAGTCCAGGCTGGTAGATGTGAAGCTCATGCTCTTTCCACATCTGGAGGCCTCCCAGGTGTGGGGAGCAGAGAGGAGAAAGGTCTTGACTTAGAAGAAGGCCTACCTCTGCCACCACCCGGCACCCCAGAGGCCTAACCCACCTGGAGCCAGCTGCCAGGGGCATGAGTGCCCGCCGGTACAAACACCACCTCCTGCACCTCATCCCGGGGCCGATCTGAGTTCTTGGCAAAGATGACAGCTGGGATGGCCGAGGCCGGGGGCACGGAGACAAAGCAGTCACAGGAACATGGGGCATCAGGGCTCCATGATGCCATCTGGGGGGAGGGGGAGACGAGTGTGTCCTTGTGTCTCCACTATCCCAGCCTGGAATCAGTGCTAGGGAGCCCCTCTCCCAACACGTGAAAACAGACACCCAGGGAAGGCAGTGCAGTCGGGTTCTGGACACCCCGCACCCCGCGCACACTCCATGTGCAATGCGACCCGGAGGCACCCACTCTCTCCCCACGCTCCAGGCTCAGGAATCAGCAGGCCGGCGCGCTCCTCGGGCCCTGCCCTTCTGAGAGTGCTGGCCCATCTCCCTTGTTGCCCTGCGCCTCTCCAAGTGTCCCACCCCCCCTCTTCTGTCCCCCCATTCTGGCTTCCCAGTCGTGTGTGCTCCTCACCCTCTCTCCCTGCTAGATCCCCAGCTTAGTTCCGGGAGCCAGTGCCTCCATTTAGGGTCAGGTCTGCCCGTTGGACCGAGGTTCCCAGGTGACCTGGAAGGCCTTGCCCCCCGGGGCGGAGCTGGAACGGAGCACCTGCAGTTCCTCGGTCTTCCACCAGGGTGCGCGCTAGCACCGCTTCTTGGAGAAGAGCGGCCTCCCTAGTCTTGCTTGGCTGCCTGCCCTTCCCGGCGCGCAGCTTTGCAACTCCAGTAAGGTCACCGTGGGGAGCAGGAGCTGGGAGCGGAAAGGAGCCACGTGAAAAGAGAGGGAAGAAAAGCCGGGCGGTTTTACTAGAAAGCTGGGACTGCTGGGGCATCTGGAATTAAACCATGTGCCCTGGTTTGAATTCTGAAGGCACGATCCCAGGCTGGTGCCCGACCCGCCAGTCCCTGGCTGATGTGGCTCAGTTGGTTGAGCTTTGTCCCATGCACCGAGAAGTCACTGGATCCATTTCCGGTGAGGGCACATGCCCAGGTTGTGGGCTCCATCCCCGGTGGGGGACATGCAGGAGCCAGCTGATGCCCCTTCCTCTCTCTGAAAAAAAAAAAAATGTTTTTAAAAAGAAAGAAAAATTATTTTTTATTTTTAAAATATATTTTTATTGATTTCAGAGAGGAAGGGAGAGGGAGAGAGTGATAAAAACATAAATGATGAGAGAGAATCATTGATCGGCTGCCTCCTTCACGACCCACACTGGGGATCGAACCCAGGCATGTGCCCTGACCGGGAATCAAACTGTGACCTCCTGGTTCACAGGTCGAGGCTCAACCACTGAGACACACCGACTGGGCAAAAAGGTATTTTTTAAAAAAAAGAATGGCTTGGCCAGGAGATGTAGGGAACACATAAGTTAATGCCTTTTTGAAGGGCACCTATACATAAAACCCATTCAACCCCCCCAAAAAATGATTCTGCTCCCCCCCTACCCCCCCAAGGTGCTTTGAAAGAAAATTTGGAAATTTCTACTCCAAAGATATGGTGTCTTTACACATAGTGAAGCTGAAACAGGAGAAGTCTTGAGTGTTCTGCTTGCTGGGTCATTTTCCTCTATAAGCGATCTCCATCATATCCAGCATTTAAGCGAATGCACCTCACACCGTTTTGCTCTGTGAAGTCCTTCAGGAACGGGGGAGACACTACAGATGGTCTATTTCTCCCACATCCACCAGCCACACAATCAGGGCTGCTGCTCCATCGGGTCACTCCTAGAGTGGGAATGAAGGCAGAGGCTGAGGCTTTGCCCGGAGGCAGGCTGTAGGTGGGTGTGCTTGGTGATGGCTGGAGGAGACCTGGCAGATAAGGCTGTGGGGGGCCTGAAACCTGAGATGTTTCCTAAATGCCTTCAGGTATCCCAAGAAGATGCCCGTGTCTCCAGGAAGACGAGCTTCACTGTCAGGAAGGGGACTGCCACTTGAACAGAAGAGTGGCCTAGGAGCTGGGCTGGAGTAGGGAGGAGCATCACCTGGAACTCTGCAGACCGGCATCTGATCTTGCTTTTGTGGGGTCTCTTTGGGCAGGTCTCTTACCCTGCAAGGGCCTCCGTGGTTCTCAACCACAGGTGGGGAGAGGGAGGGTTAATTTTTTCATTTGTATTTATTGATTGATATTAGAGAGAGGAAGGGGGAGAGAGAAACATCGACTTGTTGTTCCACTTACTCATTCATTCATTGACTTTTGTTTGTGTCCTAACTGGGGATTGAACCGGCAACCTTGGTGTATCAGGACGACACTCCAACCAACTGAGCTACCCAGCCAGGGTGGCTGTTTTTCAGCCACACATCTCCCACTGCACAACACGACACTTTAATTCTCTGCTATCAAAGTGTCGGCAGACTGCCAGCATCAGCATCATCTGACAGCTTGTGAAAATTGTCGAGTCTTGGGCCCCACCTCAGACCTACTGCATCAGAAGCTGCACGTTCACCAGACTTCAGGTATGAAGTCTGAGAAGTGCTGCTCTCATACAGCCCCAAGGGGCATACCTGGGTGGGGTTTGGGGGAGGAAATCGCGGTATCTTGAAAAAGTCCACGGGTGATCCCAATAGTCTACTGATTGGGAACAGCAGGACTGTTTAGTTCCTGAGATTCTTTTCAAACCTACACTGCTAGGACCGGACGCTGAGCAGCCAGGTTTCCTGGGCTGACGTGGAGGTGAAGGCTGCTTCGGGTGCAGCGTCAGGGAGGGGTGGTAAGGTTGCCATTGCGTGGCATTCCAGAAACAAACATCAAGGCTGTCTGTGGGCTAACAGGAGCGCCCAAGCGGCCAGCCGGAAAGCTGGTTCACCGTCTGCACTTCCCCAGCTTCCCGCTAGGGGGCAGGCACAGGCAGGAGGAGAGGCGGAGTCGGCGCAGCACAGCCCCAGGCGGCAGTTCCCAGGCTGCCTGCTCCTGTCACTTTCCATTCCAGATTTCACTCACCCACCTCGGAATTCCACTCCCACGTCCTAGGAGAGGAGCTGGCGGCTCAGAGAAGTCGCCCAGAGGGTCAGTCCAGATGTTCTGATTTCCCTCCCTCCCAGCTCCTCCGGGATCGTCCTGCCAGGGGCCCCTGACCTGAGGGGTCAGAGGTGGCCAGCCTTGGGCTCCATCAGGGGGGGCCAGGCCAGCCAGGCAGCATTGCTGTCAAGGCAAACGAGCCCAGGGAGCGTCAGAGCCCCACCAAAGGCCCCCGCTAAGAATGCAGGTCAGCGGGAGGAGCTGCACGGGGAGGAGGGGCAGCCAGCCCTGCCCAGACAGGCCCAGCCGGCCCCACAGCGGCCCTCCTGTCCCCGGGGACAGCGGGGACAGCGCTGGGGGGACAGGAGAGGACTCACCAGGTTCCTGGGGTCTAACTCCCCCAGAACCAGGAGGACAAAAGAGCACCCCAAGGAGTGGGGTGGGCATGAGGTCACAGGAAAACACACCTGTTTCTTGTCCTCCCAGACGTCTAACGCAGCAGCAGATGGGAACAAATTTTTGCCCCACACACACCAGTGTGGTTACCTGTCTGACCCCCAAATCATTCTGGTGCCCCACCACAAGGTGGATTTTGTGAGCCCAGACCCAAACCTGTGATGGGATGGGCCAACCTGGGTACCAAATTTAGTTCTGAAAAATTGGATTAGGGTTAGAGTGGGGGAAATAGAAATCCCACTAGATAACAAAAAATAATTTTGGCAAAAAAAAAAAAAGAGGATGGGAAGGTGAAAAAAACACAATAATCTGCCCAGCCGGTGTGGCTCAATGGTTGAGTATCAACCTATGAATTGGGCGGGTCACGGTTCAATCCCCAGTCAGGGGGCACATGCCCGGATTGAGGGCTGGATCCTCAGTGTGGGGTGTGCAGGAGGCAGCTGATCGGTGATTCGTTCTCATCATTGATGGTTCGTTCTGTCTCCCTCCCTCTCCCTTCTTCTCTAAAAACAATAAAATATATATTTTTTTTAAAAAAGAACACAATAGCCCTGACCGGTTTGGCTCAGTGGATAGAGCGTTGGCCTGCGGACTCAAGGGTCCCAGGTTCGATTCCGGTCGGGGGCATGTACCTTGGTTGCGGGCACATACCCGGTGGGAGGCGTGCAGGAGGCAGCTGGTCGATGTTTCTCTCTCATTGATGTTTCTAACTCTCTATCCCTCTCCCCTCCTCTCTGTAAAAAAGCAATAAAATATATTTAAAAAAATAAAAATAAAAAGAACACAATAATCTATCTGCCCCCTTGGAGCCCAAAACTGATCCTTCATCCACCTTCCTGGCTTTGGGGCTTTATACTCATAAAATAAAGCTTCAGTTGAGGTTTTATACTCATTTGACATTAATTAGGCGCCAACTACATGCCAGGCATTGGGCAGCCTGGGAAAGTGTGCACAGACGGGCAGTTCTGCATATCCGAAGGCGCCCCGTGGGTCCGGCGAGGGCGCATTCGTGCACAGCGTGGTTGTGTAACTGGCAGGTCTCTATCTGGGAGTTGCAGCAGGAGCCTTTCCCTCATACCTTCCAGCTGGGCGGGAGCCCATCAGATATCCTGGCTGCCTTTCATCGCCTTGTTCCTGATAGGGATCATCCTGGGTGAAGAAATCGCTGTCAGTCACCCCCACCTCACTCACAGCCAGAAGGACCGACTGACACACACACCCCCGTGTGGGGTGAGGGTGCCAAGAGGCTGGCGGTCTCTGGGAAGGCAGGGAACCAGCAGCGTTCTTGGCAGGGGAGGGGAAAGAGGGGGCTTGTGTGTGGAGGAGGAAGGAAACATCTAGAACTTCCTCATCTGCACAGGTTCCACCAGGGAGGGACAGTCAGCAGAGCTATCAACCCAGAGGGAGCTCCTCCCTCCTTCTGAACCAGCCACCTCCAGGGCAGGATCGGACCCTTCCATCAGCCCAGCTCTGCCCCAAACACAGGGGGAGAGGTGAGGCTGCCCAGGGCTGTGAGATCAAAGGGCAGTGTCCACCCCACCCTGCAGCAGCCTGGTCCTCATGGCTGAGGGACACGGAGTCAAGGAGGAAACCAAAGACAAATGAAGCAATGATGTGGTTGATGACTTTATTACGGCATAAAAAACACAGGCTGTTTCTTCCTCTTCTCCCTCCCCCCCAACAAAGTGGGTTCACAGCAGTTAATAAAGAAAAAAAATCCTACATTTCTCCTCTAGGGGGCTGCCTAGAAGGGGGCAGACAGGAAACCTAACCAAAGCCCTCACCGGCCACCTCAGAGCTGGGGCCTCCACAGGGGAACAGCCCTGTCCCCCCACCACCACCACTCATTCGGGAGTTCCCCTTGGAATGGTCACTGGGAACAGCTGTCCTGGCAGCACAGGGAGGTGGCGGCTGGTTTCGATGGGTGGAGGAGAAAGGCATCTCACACCCACGGTGCCCTCCCTTTCTCCCCCTCTCTCCTGGCCAGGCAACCTGCAGGCACTGCCAACTCTCTCCTGCCCCCAACCCTCTCGGCAAGGAGAGGGACCTCTGGCGGGGTCAGCAGGAGGTCGGGATCAGAGGGAACAGAAAGAAAGAACATTATTTCTTAAACTACCCCGGGCCCATGAGTCCCGCTGGGAGAGTCAGCCAATCCCTTGTAAGGACTCCCTTCTACACACACACATATTCCCACCCAGATCCCAGCCCCATTTCCCTTTGAGCTCCTTGGACCGGGCTCCAGCATCCCCAAGGGAGGAAGAGACACGGTAGGCCTAAAGCCCAGGACCTTGGACGGGGTGAACAAGGTAGGGTCTCCCTTGGCTGGAGACCACAGGCTCAGTAGAGAAACACACACACACACACACACACACACACACACACACACACACACACACACACACACACACACACACACACACACACACACACACACACACACACACACACACACACACACACTCACACACTCACGTACACATACACACAACATGCACAAACACATGCCCTAATATTAAATAAAATACCCTTTGCTTATAACTTAAAAGTCAATACACAACTAATCCTCCAAAAAGGCTCTGGATGGAAAGAGGGGAGGTCAGGGGGAACCTTACAGCCTCCATATCAAGCCTGGGAAAGCCCGCTCACTCCACTCTTCCCTCATCGGCTCCCTCCCCTTTGCCTCTGCTGCACTCCTCCCTCCCTTCTTCCCACTCCGGGATCACAACCAGAAGGTATTTCTAGCATCTAAAGAAGGAAAGGGGACAGCTTCCTAGACATCACAGAAGGCAGCCCCTTCCAGTGGGAGAGCCACTCCCTCCCACGGACAGGGATGGGAGCCTCCCGTCATACCTTCTACAGGAGGGGCCTGGGAACTGCTGGAGGTCCCTCTGCTGGGGCACCCCCACCGAACCCCAACAAGCCCGGTAACCCTGTCCCTTCCATCCCCAGGGGGGAAGGCGGCCGATGGGGAACCTAGGATGAGGAACTACATTAATTCTAGAGCGGGGGGGCTTCTGGCTGCCTGGAAAGCTCACATGGGGTGGGGCTGGGGGGAACGGATGGGGGATGTGGACGACTGAACTTTACTTTTCATCAAGACGGAGAGTTAAGGACCGAATCCGAGCTTGGAGCCGAAGGGGGTTGTTTCCTCCATTCCCCCGTTCAATTGCTTCCTCTCGTCTTAGAAGGGGCCCTCCTTGCCCATGCCCCAGCTCTATCCGGCTCTCTGCTCCACCCCGCAGTTAGGGCTGGGAAGCTGTCCCGGGTTCTGGCCCTCTGCCCCCTTCCTTCATGGCTCCATCAGGCTGGGTCTGGGAGGGTTAACAAGGAGGCGCCTCAAAGGAGTTATTTTTACAGCAACAGCCTCCTGCCTGATGGAGACCCCGCCCTGAAGGGGACCCCCAGCCTCCCCTACCCCATCTCAGCTCTGCCTCCGGAAACCCTAGGGAGAGAACCAGGAGGGGATGAAAGGGGCCAGGCCACGGGGCGGATCCGGAGGCGCTTTTATGTCCCGGTTCCCAGGCGCTAAGGACGCGTCCAGACAGGTCCCCCCAGCGCAGGGGCGGCCCCACTCCTCTATGTTCCCGGGGTGCCCATCTTCTCCGGCGGGCCCCCTCCGCCCTGCAGCCGCGGTGGGGACACCCCACCGCATCCCTCCAGCTGGGGGACGTGAGGAAACAGTGAGGAAACCGAGAACAGAGGGGCCTACGCAGCTCCCCACACACACACACACCCGGCCAGCCAAACAGGCAAACGCGTCCTGTCCAGCCACAGAGACTAAAGCACCCCTAGTGTCCCCTCTCCCCACCCCACACCGCCTTCACCCCTCTCAATAAATAACCACGTTCTCACTCGAGCCGCCCGGGGACACCAGGCCAGGGGGTTCTCTTCTGATGCCCGGGGGGACCCGCGGGGAGGCGGTGGGAGGAGCTCAGTTGGAGGGAGCTCCGCCGCCCTCCGCCTCCCGCTTG